CCAGTTTTGTGGATTTATGCCGTCAGGCTATTTTACGAGCAGAAACTGAAGCCCAAAGAAGTGAGCCGACTGCCCAGGAGTTCAGCCTGTGGTTACTGTGTCTTAGCTCCTGTCGCTCTAAAAGCCCTGCATGAACTGCCTTCCATCCATTCGCAGCAAGAAGGGGAAATTGCCCTGTTCATGACGTGTTTCATCAGTTAGGAAACAACCACTGGTCTGCCTGTTGACAGTGATGGGGCTACTACGAACCCCATTTCAGTACTTATTTTACTTTCACAACACATACTCCTTTAGCATGCACAGCACCCCAGCATTATCCTCCTCTTTTAATTTCTTGAGCCCCAGGTTTTGTCAGACTAGGAAACAAAGCTCAGTGTTTTGTGAGGGAAAACAGGACTGTTGAGAGGCATGTATACAACACACCCAACCTGTTTATAATATTAAAGCTTGAGTTCCAGAATAGCGTTTCATTAAACACTGCTGTTCATTCACTTTGGAGAGACACATAAACACAGAAATGAATCGCCTCAACCATTTGCATGCATTCAATCTTTGTGACAAAAATTGCCTATTATTGAGAATATGAACATTTTCAAAAAATTAGAGACAGCTGGAAAAACAGGGCTGAAGCAAATACTCAGGATGAGGGGAAAGCATATTGTTGTTCTATGCTTTCTATCAAGTGTGCCACACTCTGTCTAATATTGCTTCCACTATTTCTGTTTTAATTTGAACAGAGGACCCTGCTGTTACTGGTGTAGTAAAGGCCCAGAAACATTATAGTTGGTGATTGACTGCTGGGATTCAGTGTTGCCGATATCACAGTATATCACAGCATTTATTGAGGATCAGGACTACAGTTTTCCCCCAGTGTCTGGCACTTTGGTTCTTGAAGAAGACAAGTAACCTTGTGACTTAGAATACCAGATCAGGAAAGTACTCTTTGAATCACATTAACTTTGCCATCTTACAAACAGGGGAGCAAAGAAGGTAGGAAGGAAGTGGCTACCTCCAACCTATGGGGTGTCCTTAGCATCAGAGTCAAGGTGTTACTGTGGGAGAGCAGGGCTTACAGGAGGAAGCATCAAGATTAACATATGAAGGAAGTCAGATGGCCGAAAGTCTGGAAACCTCTCACCACCGGGGCTGCAGCCTGTGAAAATCATACAGTATACAAATGTGGGAGAAGGTGGGAGCTGTTTAAATGACCTATGAAAGGTCATGGTGGGGAAGCCTGGGATTTTTGAGCCTGGGATCTGTCCCAGCTCCCTACCCCACTTCCATTCTCTTTTTTTAATGCGCTGTCTCTATTTCTGTCACTATCCACGTGTCCCTGGTCCACTGCTTTGTTCCAGGAAAAAAGAACCTGGAACTCTCTGAGGGTGCCCTCTGGACACAGATTCATGCTCATAACAAAGGCATGAAGGAGCACAGTCTCTGGACTCTCGGGCCTCATGGACTTGCCTGTGCTTCCCGTGGTCCTCTTGGACTGTAGCACCCAGATGCAAGGCTGTAAGTGCCCTGCTTACTAAGCAAGCCAGGGTGACCTTTGTGCTGTGGGAATCATCAACCTTTTGTAGCAAACCACTGAAGGACAGTCCTGGGGAAATAATGAAAATAATATCATACTGTGGAGACAACCAGAGGTCCTGTTCAGACTGCAGTGTCCTCCTTACCTTCCAAGTACTGAATTCTATTCACACCCATGGCAACTCATGTTGTTCTAAAGAGATGGAAAACCAAAGATATCACAATTCATTTGGTTCTCTTGCTCTTCGCCTCCCATCCTAATCTCTTCACCTGAAGCCACAATCAGGTGTGTCCGAACTATCAGCCTTTCAGCAGCATGCTGAGACAAATATAAGCTTACTTAAAACATTATCAGCTGTTGTGATGGTGCATGCCTGTAAGTCTCAGCACTCAGGATGTGGAGGCAAGGCAGTCTCTATCAGTTTGAAGCCAGCCTGGTCTACATAGAGAGTTCTAAGTCATCCAGGCCTACATAGTGAGACCCTGTCGAAAATAAAAGTGAAATTTTGCCATTTTCAAAATGATTGTGGTCTGGAGAGATTGCTCAGTGGTTAAGAGCACCGACTGCTCTTGCAGAGGACACTGGTTCCTTTCCCAGCACCTACATGGTGGCTAACAACCATCCGTAATTCCAGTTCCAGAGGATCTGATGCCCTCTTCTGATCGCTGAGGGCATTGCATGTCATGGGTGCATGTCATGCACGCGGGTGATACACTCATACACATAAACTAACAATAATAAATAAAACATAAAAAAGGATTTATTTATGTGTATGTGTGCATATCTGAGTGTGTCTGAGTGCCTGCTTGTATACATGCATGCCTGTGAATCTGGAGGCCAGAAGAGGATGTTGTAATCCCAGGAGCTGGAGTTATAGGTGGTTGTAAACCAGCAGCATGGGTGCTGGGAACAGAACTTCAGTTCTCTGGAAGAGTAGCAAATACTCTTAGCTACTGAACCATCTCTCCAGCCCCTTTTTATAATTTTTAAAAACGTGATTGTGTGGTTCTCAAGCAGGAATTTCATAGAAGAAATCTTGCACTAAAATAACAAAAGGCTGGATACCCCTGCAAGAGCTCTGGGGCCTTTGTTACTCATTTTCCCAGACAAAATAGCTTTCGGGAGCAGGAGGCAGGGCAACCCTAGAACATTCACCCAATCTTCTTTTAGGTGTGTCTTCCAAAGAGCGTGGATTCTGGGACACAGATAAGAAAACACCTCTTCGACCCCAAAGGAATGTTCTGAGATGTTTTCAACTCCTTAATCCTCCTTGAGAGAGTTTTGTTTCATAGTCAGAAGCCCTGATATCCAAATTCCCACATGATTAATTTCTTTTTAAAATTTATTACATTTATTGATTCATTCTATGTGTGTGCATAAGTGCGTGCATGTGTGCTATGGAGGTCAGAGGACAACTTGTGGAAGTCAGTTTTCTCCTTCCATCATGTGAGTCTCAGGGATCAGAGCTAAGATAGTGAGATTTGGCAGCAAGCATCTTTACCTGGTGAGTCATCTGGCCATCCCACAGGATTCATTTCTTTGTCTCACAAGCATGAGGGGGAGGTGGTTAGAGAAGGGCTTGTAAATGCAAATATCCTCCACTGAGCTATTGTATATATTCACATATATTGACATTAGTGTTAGGGAAGCACTGTATCTCACAGCCTGAAATTTGCCTTCTGCTTTTACTCTTTAGCTATCAACCAGACTTGCCCTTCCTCATAAAGTCATACCGTGAGTGTGTGCCTATTAGTACATGTGTCTCTACACCTGTGCATGACATTCTTTTTCACACTTTGAGTAAATCCGATTTTTTTTCCTGGGACTGCTCACCACCTCCCCCTGCCCTTTGTCCAAGGTGCTTCCCTTTCCCATATTCCAATCCCACTAATCCCTCCCTGTTAAATAGAAATTCCAAAATTAGTGGCTGAGGGTTTGAATATTATAATGGTGGTATAATGGCAGGGAGACCCTTATAAGACATCATGAGGATAGCCACCTACTGTCCGAACCAAAAAAAAAAAAATCACTATGTGGGTAGCAAAAAATGTTATCCCAGAACTTCTACAGTTTTGGCTTTCTTTGGCTTACATATTTACCTGTTCCCAGGGGGATCGGGTTCTGTCTCACAGGCCTAGGGGTCCCAGGGGAGCTTTCTGAGGGACTGAAGTCTGCCTTGAACTTTGTTGCATCAGGCTGTTTTGCACAACATTGGTCCTTGGTCCTTAATCAGCTGGTTCCCTAGAGTTCAGGGCCAGAGATGCAGGAATATCATGAAAGCCAGATTCTCACGAATTCTTTATCTGTGAGGGAAGCAGCTAGAGAATCTCTTAATTCCTCCAGTAGGTTTTGGGGCACGTTGTAAGTCTAGCCAGAGCTGGGAATTCTGAGTGGAAAGGTAGAGGCATAGCTGTAAAATGACCTGACAAGGTCCACTTCTTCAGTTGACCTGGGACTCATTTGATTTACTCAGGCTAGAGATGCAGTTTAACAATACCTCATATGTGGTGTTGCCCAAAGGTTTCTACATTTGATCCTCATGCTAAGCTCATGGGTCAAAGCAGAGGAGGAATCATTAGTCTTATTTTACAGAAAAGGAAACTGAGCCTCAGGAAGGACAAGTTATGCAAGAGCTTCTGTAAGTAAGTGAAAAATTTCTGACGACTCCTGACCAGTGCTCTGTCTGCTGCTCCACCACATAGAGAACAAGAAAGGGATAGAATGGAGCACAGCAGGAGGGATAACGAGAGTGCCTGTTTCTAGACAGACACATACATCCTCACCCTAGCACTCTTGGCTCACAGTGTCCTCTTCCAGTGGCCCCAGTGCTAAAGGCTGCCACCCCTTGCCTCTTCCACTGGCTGGGAGTGCATGCTCATTAATGGAAACTCCAGGGTCCTGATGCACAGCAAATTGTCCTGATTAATTAGACAGGGAAAGTCAGAGTCCCAAGTTCCCAGAACTCTTGTCCTGAAGGAATATCCGTTCTTAAATCCCTGCATCCCTTGTCCCACAGCAGAAAAGAGCTTTTTGGACAACAGGATTTGTAATCATCATCATCATCATCATCATCATCATCATCATCATCATCATATATGCCTATTAAGAACTGTATTATTTATTATGAGGAAGTAATTGGATAGTGCCTGGTTTTCTGAAATCAAATCCTGGGGCTGTGCTGTGTGACTGTGGGCTTATACCTAGACCTCTCTGGGCTTCAGTTTCCTCATATGCCACATCACCGTGAGAGAGATGGTCTTACTGTCATGAAGTGTGTAGATATGTATCCATTCATTCAATAAATCCTAGTGTGTGAAGTCTTTCTGTAGGCGCTGGGCTTGGCGTGGGGGATTCAGTAAGGGTGGAGTAGGAGCGAGTGTGCTTTGAAAATGCTCAAATTCCCCCATGTAAGGTTTTTTTAGTCATGCTTTCTTTTCATGCTGACTTACCTTTTCAGAAAATACCCCCTCTTCCGTTGCAGAATGGAAATTGGCAAAGAGAGAGGGAAAAGGTCCAATTTGCGCCTTTGCTATTTTAGGGGAAGTTGAAATTACCAGCCAAAGTGGAGTGATGCGCTTGCTGGAGTGATCCCCCTTTTTCAACACAGAAGAAAACCCAGGTCTTTTGCTTGTGAAGTGGCTGGGGCTCTGGGGCACGAGGCATTATTATATAAATTCAAGCTCGCTCCTGATCCTTAGTACCCTGAGTTGCCTGAAGGGGGGAATGGCACTGCCTGCGTTAGCAGCCCGGGAGCTGGGGCCGCGGTTGCAACTGGAGCAAGGAGCTCCCGCCCGCACCACCTGTCCCCGCCGGCATTCCAGAGTAGAGGCCGAATTGGCAGCCAGCCGGCCAGGGTCGGTCGCCGCCTCAGTCTGCGCGGGTCCTCCTAGGGGTGTGTCTCACGGATTCAACTCCTCGCCGCTCCTGGACGAGCCCCCAAAGGCGTCTTCCTCCTTGGCGGGAGCCTTGCGCGCCCCGCTCTTCGCGCTGCTGCCCAGAGGCCGCCGCAGGCGGATGCACGACCTCAGGCGACGCTGGGACCTGGGCTCCCTCTGCCGGGCCCTGCTCACTCGGGGCCTGGCAGCCCTGGGCCACTGGCTCAAGCACGTGCTCAGTGCGGTCTTCTCCAAGATTTTCAGCCCCTTGGCCAGGTACGTTTGGGGGCGAAAGCTGGGCTCGGGCTCTCTGGCCGGGGACGAGCCGGGGCTGTGCGGGGAGGGAAGGCAGTCAGGGGTTAGCCGAGGGAAAGGCTCAAAGTTCCAGCGAGCCGCTGGTGGAGGGGCCGGGGAACTCGGGAGCGGCAGGGCACGCACGACTGACTGCGTTGCGGTTCTCTCCCCCGTGGCTCCGCGGGAAAGGGCAGCGCCGCGTCTCCGCTTGCAAAGTACGGCTGCCGGCGGGCTCCTAACCAACCCCACCGGAACCCCTAAACCCCCCGGCTCTGAGCTCACTCGACGCGGCCACCCTGTGGGCAGCGGGACCCGCGCCAAGGGAGCTCGGGTCAGGCCCGCACCGTCACGCGCGGCGGGGACTGGGGTCAGGAGAGCCGGGGAAGAGTCCCGTGGGCCAGGCGGGATGGGGATGGGAGCCGGGGCGAACGGAGCGGGAAGCACCCGGCGCCGGACAGGGGTGGCGTGAGTTGAGTGTAGCGACCTGGACTGGAGGGATCCTGTGGGGGACAGAGACCCCGCGGACGGGCTCCAGGGATCTTGGGCTGGGGGAGGGGGCCGGGGGCCAGCGGGATGGAGTCCGGGTGAGGGGGGTAGTGCGGTAGAAGCCACTGCGCTGAGCCTGCCGGGAAGGAAGAAAGCGGAGAAGGGCGCCGCCGCAGCCGATGAGAAGTACTCAGTGCGGACGGGAGGGGAAAAGGGGAGCAAAGGTGGCGCCGCGGGGAAGGGGCGGTGCGGGCGCAAGGCTAGCGCGGGACGAGCTGCGGGATTGACGTAACGAGCTTGGGTTTCCCCCAGCGTCGGGAACATGGATGAGAAATCCAACAAGCTGCTGCTGGCTTTGGTGATGCTCTTCCTATTTGCGGTGATCGTCCTCCAATACGTGTGCCCCGGCACAGAATGCCAGCTCCTCCGCCTGCAGGCGTTCAGCTCCCCCGTGCCAGATCCTTACGGCTCGGAGGATGAGAGCTCCGCCAGGTTCGTACCCCGCTACAATTTCAGCCGCGGCGACCTCCTGCGCAAGGTAGACTTCGACATCAAGGGCGATGACCTGATCGTGTTCCTGCACATCCAGAAGACCGGGGGTACCACTTTCGGCCGTCACCTGGTGCGCAACATCCAGCTGGAGCAGCCCTGTGAGTGCCGCGTGGGGCAGAAGAAATGCACTTGCCATCGGCCGGGTAAGCGGGAGACCTGGCTCTTTTCCAGGTTCTCCACCGGCTGGAGCTGCGGGCTGCATGCCGATTGGACCGAGCTCACCAGCTGCGTGCCCGCGGTGGTGGACGGCAAGCGCGATGCCAGGCTGAGACCTTCCAGGTGAGTCCTTGGTGGCGGCTGAGTGGGTTCCTGGGGCGTGGGCACTGGCCTGGGTGGGCGGCGGGAGGGAAAGGCTGAGTCTGCAGTTGCTGGGGACCCTGCGCGCACCTTGGCGCCCCAGCGGTTGCGTCCCCGCTGGGCAGGCTCTAGATACCTTGACACTCACCTTTGCTGCGCTGTGGCTGTGCCAGAAAGCCTTTGGGACACTTCACCTGCTAGTCCAAAGGCTGGCCTTCTTGGTGGTTGGGAGTGAGTGTGGAGAAAGTGGCCTGGCGGCCCGGAACGAGCGCCCCCAGCCCCCACTGCAGTCAGGACTGGGCACCACAGTCTGATGAGCACCAGAGAGTTCTAAAGACCTTTGCTTGGCAGGCAGCATCTCTGGGTCCATCCTCCTTATCCTCTCCCCTTCTCCCCATCCCAGTTCCAAAGCCTCAGTTCGGTGCTCTTTTCCCTTTTCCCGCTCCTGCATTCTCCTCTTTCCCCTCTTCATTTCTTGCTTTCTCTAGCTAGAATTCTCTCCAGATCTTGTTTGTTCCTTGTTACTCCCTCTTTCCCTTTCCTTTTTTCTGCTTTCTTCCATCACCACCTCCTCCCGCTCACCTTTGTTCTCTCTCACCTTTCTGATTTTTTTCTTGCCTGGCTTTTACCCCTCCCCCCTTTCTCAGGCTCCCCTCTTCCCTGGACAGTGGATGTCCCTCTCCTACGGCTTGCCGACACTGACAGAGAGCTGCTAGTTCTCATTGCCTGCGCTTCTCTACTGACCCCACACGTAGCATCCACGGAGCTTTGGAAGTGTGAGGGAGGCACCACTTAAGTCCCAGGACGAGCTGAAACGCTGCTTCGGACCCCACATAGGCCCCAGGAGCCAGCCCAGTTTTTTGGGCCACTGGGACTGATGCAGAAAAAGCTGATTTATGAAGGATCTGTAGCCAGAAGCAGAACATTTTCTTCCCTCTAGCTTAAATGATCAGTATCTGGAGACCATGAAGTGCTTTAAAGAGGACCAGGGGGCCTGTTTTGGAGGGAAATTGATCCAGCCAGGACTGTTATTTCATAGGACTCCTGAAAACAAATTGGGGCTAGGGCCGAATTGGGGGTCTCTGGATAGGCAAGGACATGGTTCTGTGAGTCTCCCTCGTCTCCATTTTGGTGACTTCAGAGGCCCTTAAGGCTGCTGCTGTAGTGGCTGCCTTCCTTTAATCCCTCTATCCTCCTCCATTCTGTGAGTGTCCTCACTCATTGTCCTGGCCAAAGTGGTGCTTTGCAGGTGGCTGTTAAAACTAAATGTGTGTATGATCTTGTCTGTCTAGTGTCAGCAAAGGGAGTCCTTCAGTTTACAGTGGCCTTTCTTGAAGGCCAGAATTCTGGCTGAAAGAACTTTCATTTCCTTTCTACACTGACAGATTTGTGTTTCAATCCCAAGAGAACCTATCCCCAGGAACGTGGTGCCTTGATTCATGGCAAGGATTGTGTAAGTCACTGTCACAACAGCATTCTGGTGTTTAAGAAGGTTTCCCCCCCTCAAAGTTGGCAGTACTGTAAATAACCTTTCATGCTCATAGAGTTTGTAGGTGTACTGAGAGTGCTGATAATCAAAGCAATCTTTAGGATTAGTAGATTTAGTAGAATTCCACAGCGGCAGTGGAAAATCTGCCATGGAAGCCATAACTTTATCCGGAGATGTATAGTATAGGGCACACATGCCTTGACCTTATGACCATTTAAGTCAAAATGTAATGTCTGTAACTCCACTGTGTTAATGTAGTTTGAATGATCTATTTAGTAGCCACTGTCCTTTGGCAGATTCATTCATATGCCATTTATGGGATAACCTGGACATGTCGAGGCCTCTTGGATTGTTCTCAGTTTAAGCAAAATTGTAATGGCATATGATTTTCTTGGGCATTCAAAGGGTGATACCACAGTGCCATCTAGTCTAATCAAAGAAGAACCACTTTTGAAAAAGTCTGTTACTTGATTATGGTATTTATGAAACTGAAGTAAAATTTCCCAGAGAAATATATACAATACTACTTCAAAGGTATTTTTTCATTTCATTCCTTCCTGCCCATCACCATAATTATTCATATTATGGAGTAGTGATGGCCTAAGATCCAGAGTTTTCCAAGATATTGACAGACAGGTCTTTGCTTGCAAGATAAGTTCTATGAGTTCTGATAATGTGTGGAAGCTGAGGTACGCAGGCACGTAGATGGGGAATATATGTGAGTGCACATGGGAGAGACAAATGTAGTAGTCAAGGCAGCTGTATGGGCAGCGATTCATGATGTGAGATGCTGGTCTCAGGGCCTAAGAAAACATTCTATTTTGTGATGAGCTTTCATATTGACTCATTATTTCTCTGTAAAGCTTCAGTGTCTTTTGGAGAAAGGCGGACATGAAAAAAATATCCAATTTTATCAGAAGCGATGAAGCCCAAAGTGGCTGAAGGACATCACCAAGGTCTTTAAGGTCTTAGTGATACAGCCAGAAATCTGACTCCAGTTCTGTCTGACTCCACACCCTCTGATCTGTTGTCTGTACCTTGATAAATAGTTTTACCGAAACACAATGAGGTATTTCCCATTTAGTGATTACCACTGAATGACCCCTCAGTAAATGCTAGCTGGTACTGTTTTCATCCATGTTATAACTGTTATCAGCCATTTTACACATGTAGCTTTGGGTGAGTGCTTGGGCCAGGGTAGCTAACTCCACCCTGAGATGAATGGATTTCTGTATCCTAGAAGCTTTATGCTCACCTAGAGTACTCCTTGGATTAGATTGCTATGAGGCCTTTCCTTGCTGTATTGGAGATCTCTGTAAAGCAGGATGGAACTAGACTGGGAGTACGGTTGTTGAGTGCCAAAAGGAGGCACGTCCAGAGCTAATAGCCTTTCATCCACATTAGGGTTAGCATGAGAGCCTTTGGCACTGCAAACCATGTCTTTGAATCCTTCTCTCAGTGCTACGTCTGAGATGGTTCCATGTCTCTTGGGATTGTAAAGTGCATGGGGGACATATAACTGAATACATCTGCTGAATAGAAATGATTGATCACATTTTATGAGGGGAGGGAAGGAGGAAGGAAGAGGAGGGTAGAGAGAGTGGGTGCTGGAGAGCCTGATAAAAGGCTTAAGTTGTTTATTAAACTAAAATTTATTTAAAAAAAATAGAAGCTGCATTTCAACTGTCTGTTTGCCAGTATGTTGCCTGAGGTCAGGAGAGAATTCTGCTCATTTTAGAATTTCTAGGACCATTTTTAATCAAAACATTGTTGCACACCAGCTGTTCAAATTCCCAAATTCTACAAGCTTTTCCAAGGCCAAAACTCCCTACGTTTATAGCCAACTCCAGTGTGTCAGTTGGTCTGTGGGAGAAATTCAAAACTGAGAAGAATGTGCACAAACCCTTTCTTCACTTGGTAGGATGCTGGCTGGAGCTCATGGAATAGACATGGGGTTAAGGCTTATGGCTATACAATTCAGAAACTTCCTTATATCCTGCATCCTAGATTTTAGCATCTCTAAAATTTTAGCAGCCACATTGAAGAGTAACATTGTCATCTCAAAACCAGTAGGGGATCATTGATAAGAAAGGAGTAAAACATTTTTGTTTAGATGTAGAAAAGCTTTCTCTTTGTTGTTTCATTCATTCATTTTTCAAAAAAATATGATAAAACCTTTCTATTTCTTTTCAAAAGGTGGCTCCAGTTCTGAAAGAACTAGAATGCAGTGCATGTGTCTGATCGTACCTTGCATGCCCGTACGTGCACTCCCTCCTTTTATTGGTTTTGCAATGAGTCAAGTTGACAGACTTGTGGTACAGAGCGACGCAAGGGGTTGAGTGGATTGTTAAAGGCCAATGGTGCTGCCTGTGCACTACATCAGGCTGTGAGCCGTTGCTCTCTCAGCTTCACTTAGCTAAAGATGTCTTTATTTAGTCATCTTTGGTGAGAGTCTTTGTATTTGTGTTAGTTTGTCAGCACCGATACCAAATACCTGACAGAAGCAACTTAAGTGGAAGAATTATTTCTTTGCTGAACATATCAGTGGGTTTAGCTCATGGCCACTTGGCCCCACATGTTTGGGTAGAATATCTACGCAATAGGAACAGGTGACAGAGGATGTTTCTCACCTTGTAACTTCATTCAGACAGGAAGCAGAGAGGCAGGAAGGGGTAAGATACCCTAAGGGTCTGTCCCCAGTGACCCATTTTCTCTAGCTAGGCCTTACCTCTTGAAGTTTCCACCACTTCCCAAAATAGTGCCACCAGCTGGGAACTAGGTATTCAAAAATTAAGCCTGTATGGGAAAATTCATTTTCAAACCATAACACACACACACACACACACACACACACACACGTGCACACACACACACGTGCACACACACACACACACACAAGGGGTAGGCATGGGGGAATGAATATGAATGAGAATGAATAATAACTTCTGTAGAATGCAGCAGTATTAGTATCTTTCCATCGGCTGTTGTGGTTTCAACAAAATTCCTAGGTTCCCAGGTAGTATAAAAGATTACTTCAAGTGAGTTTCTCTTCATGATTTAAGGTTACTGCTGTGATGTGGCAATTAAAATACTACAGCTTGTCTTTTATGGGCATCAGTTGTCAATTGAGGTAGTATAAAATGACATTAAAAGCATTCTCTTCTCTTCCTTCTGTTGTTCATTAAATAAGATTTTATGAAACTGTCCGTTATATTCCAGGGAAGACTTGCCATCCTTGCTCTCAGAGCTGCCAGTAAAATAGAACAATTTGATACTTTAGATATTTAATAAATAAATGGATTTTGTTTGAAAACTATCTGAAAATCAATAATGTCTTAAAATGCCAAACGCTTATCAGAATATATTAAAACAGGGAATCTTCCATCTGTTATGTGGTAGTTTAGGTCTAATTTACGAACCTGGAGAAGTAACTACTGTGGCCCCACTATGGGGCCAGCAGTTGGAGGAGATTAGAATCAAGACAAAGCCAAGA